GGGGGGGCCGCGTGCCTCGGCGCCGGGGGGAGCCGAGCCCCCCGGCTCATCCCCAAAGGATGCAGGAGCCGCAGCCGGGCTGGGCTGGGAGCCCTTGGCTTCCGTGATCTGACCCTGTCATTCCCAAGCCGGGGGGGAAATGGCACACTAATGACCTCTGTGCCTTCACACCTTTTTGTAATTTCTCCCAGGCAGAGAGACCTTTGATTTAATACGCTGACGGGTTTATCCACCATGCTCCGAGCCATCTCCCAGCAGCAGAGGCAAGATGAGCCCAGCCAGGCAGGCACGTGGCCATGGCACTGCCGTGGACGCCGGGATCCCTGCCCTGGGTCCAGCCAGCAAAGCTGCTCCTCGTGCAGGGCTTTCTCAGCCACTCTGTCCTTCTCCGACCATCTGGGTCGTCTCTGGTTTTGCGTTTCCAGTGAGGGCGAGTGCTCATGTGCCTGTGGGTGTGGAGTGCTCTGCCCTGCTCTGCCCCTCAGCCACATCACAGCTGCAGAGAGCACCCAGGCACAAGCGACTTCCAGCCAGGAGGTTCAGGGGCTTGGTGGTGAGGCCTTGGAGAAGGCTTTTCCCAGCAGTCATGTCCGTGAGTGTTGTTCTGAAACCCTGCTGTAATGTGAGAGCCCTCGCTTTGCTGGAAGGACACTGGCGCCAAACTGGACCTGACTTTGCAGTGTGGTTCATCATGTTGAAGTTCATGGCTCAACTGTGTCCTTGTCACCGGGCCTCCCTTTTCAGAGAGTCTGGTGTGCCATGGTTTCTGTCCTGCAAACCAGACCTTCAAGGAAATGTCCCCAATTTGGCGCCGAGGGGTGCGGGTGGCTCACGGCGGGGAGCTTCTGCGTTCTGGGGTCTCTGTGCGTCGCGGGGAGCTTCTGCTTTCTGGGGTCTCTGTGCGTCGGGCGCTGCACAGACCCAAGGAAAAGCATTTCTGCTCTTCCAGGTTGAGGTGTCCACGGTGTTTCTCGCTTCTGAGTGTGGAAGGCCAGGTAGGGTCCTCATCCCACTGGTCCTTCAGGTGCTTCAGTACTGCAGGGCATGAACCCGGTCGGCTCAGCGAGCCCTGCCCTTCTCCCACACAGAGATCCCCGAGTGTCTCCTGGATGCTCAACTGCCTTTCCGGATGGCGTGTGCCACCTAAATTAGGGAAGTCAAGCTGAGCAATGTCCTCCTCAATCCCTGAGCCCTTCTTCCAGTAGTGCCAATTCTGGGGGAGAGGTGGGGGGTCCTGGTGGGAGATGCTGGGCTGGGCTCCTCTCTGTGGTGGGTTGTGGTGCCGGGCTGGTCCAGGGGAGCATCTCTGCTCCACTCCTGCTCCCGAGGCCTCTGCCCCAGCTAACTCATCCCGTGAGCTGCAGTTTTCCATGCCACCTCTTTACAGCCGATCCTGTTTATGAGTCGGAGCCGCGCTCCGGGTGCGGCACGGTGCTTTGTGCTAAATGCAGATGAAATATTTGCACGTCTCCACTTTGCTTTTGCACACTGTGTAAAGTCCAGGGCTGTGGCATCCCCTGTGCCAAAGAATCGCCTGCCCTGCCCTGGCTGTTCCGCGTCGCGCTGCGAAGCCCCGATTGCTCACGCCGCTCCTGACTTACATGCCCTGCTTTGCTTGTCTGCCACAGGATAAAATTGCTCCGGTGCTGCAGAGATGAAGGGGCTGGAAGCTGGCACACGCACAGCTCCTGCCTGCACGGAGCAGAACCTCTGTGGCTGAATTTAACCTCCAGTGCAGCCAGAGGCAGGGCTGGCTCCCTTGGGACCAGAGGCCACTTCCATGGATATACGGATATTTAAAGAAGGTTTTTTTTTTTTTTGTTAAAGATTTTGTTCTTTCATGGTAACCTTAGTTGGGAGCTGCATCAAGTAAAATTTGGAGGTGGGGGAAGAGGAGAGCTTTGCAGAGAAAGTCTTGGTCTGGAATGTGTTGTGCTGTGCCCCCAGGTCTGCAGCTGAAGTCTCCTTGAAACCATAGGCAAATCACAACCAGAAATGGTGGAGCTGGGGGGCGACGGTTGCGTGGTGTCGGTTCTTGCACCATCGTTTGTGTGAAGTGTTGTGTGTCTCTGCTGAGGCTTTACTGCTCCGTGTCTGTGGCTGGCTGGTGTTAGTGAGGTTTTTTCTCCGAAGTGGTGGGATGCAATTGCCTCCTTTCCCATCTCCCCATGCCGGGTGGGAGAGGGTGTTCATTCCGGTGCGTGTGGGTGAGCTGGGAGTGAGCGAACCCGAGGGGTGCGTGGCAAGAACAGAGTCCCTGGGAGAGCAGGCACAGCTGGGCTGGGGGTGTCACTGGGCTGTCCCCAGCTAAAGGTCACGTCTGGCACCTGGCTCCTCCTGGCCGTGATGTCCTGCCCCAGCAATGGCTGCTCCATGAACCCACCTGTGTTTGGTGCATGGAATGTTGGTGAAAGGGTGCTCGGGCTGGGG